GTCACCCAGCAGCTGCATGTGGAGGAGCGGAGACTCGAACCCGGTTCCCCAGATTAGGAGTCTACCGCTCTTAACCACTATACCACACTGGCTCTCAGTATACTAGAAGAAGTTTGCACTAAAATTAGAGAAAGTGAAATTTTCAGATTCATTCAATGGTCTCAGAGTCTCAATAATTGGTCAGTTGCTTGCTTTGGATGGGGTTGTATACCCCTGAAGCTGTAAGTTCATAGTATGAGGTGGAGTGGAGGCTCTTGGGTTCTATTGCAGGTTCTGTGCTGGGATAACCTGACCTCTGTTTTCCGTGTGCTAATAACCTAAAGCTTGCACTACTGCAGTGCGCTGCATGTGGGGCTGACTCTGAAGTTGGCCCAGAAGTTGCAGCTAGTGTAAAATGTAACAGCTAAACTGCTCACTGGGACAGATTATGCACTGCTGTTGAAAGAATTACAGTGGCTGCCCATTAATTACTTGGCTTAATTTAAGGTGTTGGTACGACAAAGCCCTATACAGTTTAGGACCAGAATCGTTTCATCCTTCATGTATCTAACTGATCACTGCACTTTGCAGGAAAGGGTCTCTTTCAGATCATTAGGAGGTGTGTTCTGTACAATGTAGGAATCAGGCCTTTAGTGTGGCAGCAGCTGCCCTTTGGAACACCTTCCCATTACGTATCAGACAGGCATAATTTCTGTTCGGGGCTTTAAGTGAACAAACAACTTGTCCATTGGTTTGCAAACTTGAAAGGGATAATCTTACTGTTTTATCCTTTTTGTTAACAATGTAGAAGTTTTCTATAATGAAGCATCATATGAATTTTAGGAAATAGATAATATTGAATGGTCCCACTTCAAATGAAAACACTGGGCCATTTTGCATGTAACACTAATGCCTGGCTTAATGCACAAGGGCAAATGTGAGGGTTCCCAGAGTGACGGTGTGGTCTCCCAGTCTGACTGCTGTGCTACATGTTCAGATGGTTACATCTGAATCTGGGCTCGTGAGCAGTAAACATTAACAAAACTTGATTACGATTTGTGACTTGTTTGGAGCAAGATAAACCGTTAGTCTGGGTTCAGACACAATGCTAAGCCAAACTATGACAGCAGCAGGATCAGAGAAGTACAGTGGCCCGGATCTTTGCTTCAGGAACCTGCATATTTGCTCAATTGCACTAAGTCAGGGGTTGTCTTAGTGTTAATATGTGAACTGAGTCACTGTCTGCCACTGTTATGTCCTGAGTTGAATAGGATTCAGAATTCAGCAGTATGATTGGTCCGTAGGAGCCACCCAATCCAGCTCCAAGGTGGAAGTGAATCCGCAACCTGATTGGCCTACAGGAGATTCCCGGAATTAGCCAATCACGTGCGGCCCATTGTGTAAATAATGTACAGTGGTACCTCGGGTTAAGTACTTAATTTGTTCTGGAAGTCCGTACTTAACCTGAAACTGTTCTTAATCTGAAGCACCACTTTAGCTAATGGGGCCTCCTGCTGCCGCCAGAGCACGATTTCTGTTCTCATCCTGAAGCAAAGTTCTTAACCTGAAGCACTATTTCTGGGTTAGCGGAGTCTGTAACCTGAAGCGTATGTAACCTGAAGCGTATGTAACCCGACGTACCACTGTATATAAAGCAGATATTTGGGGGGGAACTTTCATTCCTCACTAGTATGAGCTGAATAAAGAGCATGAAATCCACACTCGACTCTGAGTATATTTCAGCCACATTTGGCAAAAACTAAGCACTAATTTAAATTTGCTTAACGAGGTGCTATAAGACCTTATGCAGGGATTGCAATGCCTCAAGTTTTTTGTGGAGAGAGGTGCTAATTTGAAAGAGCCCCCACTCAAAAGGAGCCTCCATTGCCAACAATTTTATATCAGACAAGCTGATAAAAATGAGGAAAAAATATTGCAACTAATTATTTATTAAGTGAAAAAGTGACAAAATGTATAAAAGTAGTGGGACTGCGAATGAAAGAATATAATAAAGCAATGGATTTTGCCTTCTCTATATTGAGGATGAATGGCAGTGACCCTTCTGAAGTTGTGTTAGTTAAAGCACCGTTCTGCTACCCCAAAATGTATTTTGCTTTCCACATCTGGAACAGTGACTCCTTCTTCCAGAGCCACTACCTTCTGATCTTTCTGCCAAAGGCCATATCCTTCTCTGGCCTGAGCCTGTTGAAGCTGATGTGGCTGGAAAGGGAATAGGCTTCAGCTGCCAGTGACAGACCTAACACAGAAAGTCAGAACACAATTCCCTTGGGCTGACTCCAACCATTATTGTGTTTCTTTTAAAAAAACAACAACACCCTTACAAAAAATTTTAATTGTATCCTTTAGCAGTAATACTACCCTACTAGAATAAGTTGCACACGAATCCTACAGTTGTTCAGTTCCAGTAGTGTCAGGAATAAACAGCCATGACTAACCAATGATTTGTACCTCTGCTAAGGAATGCCAAAGCCTATTTAACTGGGAGGTTTCCACTTTGGTGTGTATAACCTGGATCCTGCCATAGAGAGACTGAGGAGGCAAATTACTCACTGGAAAAAGTTTTATATAGAATGGAAGAGTTTACATCTGTTTGAATTTTAGTAACCTTTTTAGTGCCAGTCAGGGTTCACTACCTATTTCATACAGAGACACTAAAAAAAAAGTTTTTTTGTGGGGTTTTAAAAATAGATATAATCAATAACAACAAAGAGTCATGTGCATTTTAAAGATTGATAACACATTTATTATGGTCTAAGGTTTCATGGATTAACACAGCTACTTCTCTGGAAATTTTAATAACTGTAGTCTGTAATGTATAACAGCATAATAATGAAAACTTCTCGAAAGAACCTACAAACAGCATACGTTTTCTTTCCCCCCCTTTTTTCAAAAAATTTTTAATTGGTTTTCACAACATTATAAACAAACACATAAAACAAACAAACATAAATCATAACCTTATTAAAAATTACACTTATTAACATTGTTAAGTGACTTCCTTGCTTCCTCTTGGTTGAATTTCATTGCATGTCCTTTTAACGGTTTTCCAAATCATAGTTCTTAAAATAATTTAACTTAAACATTAACATCCTTAGATCTTCAAATTATGAAATTAAACATATTAATTCATCACTTAACTTAAATAAAATCCTGAGCCAATTAAGTATCTGCAAGCTGTTTTCAGCAAACAGCATACGTTTTCTGTTCTGCTGCACACAGGGCCAGCCCGAGACCTTTTGGCACCTGAGGCAAGACGTGCCACCGACGCATCCCTCCAACGCCACAGATCTGGGCCCACAGCCCAGTGGGATGAGATGCCTCAGGTCGCCTCATTGGTGCACCAGCCATACTAGAGCAGCAAACTAGCTTAGGGGCTCAAATTTCTGTGGCACCAGTGGTGTGCGGTCAGTGGACTCGGCTAGCCCCTAAATGTTCCCCTGGTTCCATCCTTCTCAAAGCCTGAGAAGCTTCTGCCTGGCTTAGGGAAGGAGGCATGATGCTCATGCGCACGCTCTCTGCTCCCTGCATCACCCTCGCAAGCTGGTGCCTCTGGCCCTAAAGGTTTTCCTACAAAACATTTCACTGCACACTACCGAGTGGCGCCCTGTGTGACACCAAAGTTTGGCGCCTCCCGCCTTCCATCCTACATCCTAGTTGCGGCGCCCCCAAGGCATAGCTGTCAACCTTTCCCTTTTCTTGCGAGGAATCCTATTCAGAATAAGGGAATTTCCCTTAAAAAAAGGGAAATGTTGACAGCTATGCCCCAAGGGTCAGCGCCCAGTGCAACCAAACTGGCCATGCTCCCCTAAATCTGCCTCTACAGAGCAGAGCACATGGCACACATTTCTAGCCACTTTCCACCCATCAGAATTTGCTGCCTGAGGCAGCAGCCTTACTCTGCCTCATGGTAGGGCTGGCCTTGGTTGCCTTTACAGAGGCTGTGTATAAATTCCTGTTTCCTCTGCATCCAGTGCGCTCCCACCACTGGTCTGGGAAGTGGTGCACACACGTCAGCCACAGTTCCTATTTATCCTGTATCTATGCTGCCATTTATTAAGAAATGTTGAGTTTTGATGCATCCCCGCCCTCCCGACCAGCTTTGATGCAAACTGAGGAAAAAATGACCTAGCTGCATTTTAAGCAGGGTGATTTGTATCCATCTGTAAAGAACTGCTGTGGGGACAGGGAAAAGAGTGCCCCTTTTCCCCACCTCCAAGCCAGTGCCGTCCTTTCAGATTATGAAGTTGATTAAAGGAAATCTTCAGTTCCTTCCTATATTGTGATTGCGGCCTGACTGCCCCCCTCGCCCTGCTCCCCCCCCCTTTACTTAAATGCAGTTCTTGGGACAAGTTTGTTCAGGTAACAGTAGTGTGGAAAGAGAGAATGTTTAATGCACACAGCCACCTGTTATGTACTGAGTTGAATAGGATCCAAAATGCAGCAGTCTGATTGGTCCTAGAACAATAGGATCCAAAATGCAGCAGTCTGATTGGTCCTAGAACAATAGGATTCAGAATGCAGCAGTCTGATTGGTCCTAGAACAATAGGATTCAGAATGCAGCAGTATGATTGGTCCGCAGGAGCCATCCAATCCAGCTCCAGGTGGAAGTGAATCTGCAACCTGATTGGCCTACAGGAGAATCCCGGAATTAGCCAATCAGATGCAGCCCATTGTGTAAATAATGTATATAAAGCAGATATTGTGGGGGAACTTCCATTCCTCCTCACCTCTATGAGCTGAATAAAGAGCATGAAATCCACTCTCTACTCCAAGTATGTTTCACCTCCCAAGCTGCAGCTGGGAGAAATATGCACTTGCTGCATTTGAGTTAAATGGGGGCTGGGCTGGGGGAGAAGCAGTACGTGGTCCATAAAGCATGGCACCAACAGCCCTCCTTACAGAAGAAAACTCAAGTTTATTTACTCCCAAGTATACAAGCACAGGCTCAAGTTGCTAACGCGGAAATTGTAGAGTTGGAAGGGACCCCGAGGGTCATCGAGTCTGACCCCATGCAATGCAGGAATCTCAGCTAAAGCAACCATGCCAGAGGGCCACCCAATCTCTTCAGCTGCAAAGAAGCGGCCCATTCACTCTTTCGCAAGCAAATACAAGTGAGTCTTGCGGCTGCTAACGAATTTATTATGGCAGACATTGTCGACTGAACCGGCCTCCCCCCCCCCAACGCCGCCTTCGTGACTCTTTTCCTTCCCGCCAGCCAGCAGCCCCGCTTCGACACCTGCCTCAGAAACAAACTGAGGCGAAAATGGCGGGAAAGACTCGGCCGCTGGAACCGAGGCGACGACCAGGAGGCCAAGGCCGCGGAGGAGGGAAGCGTTGCTAAGCAACAGCCGACCGAACGCGGGAGTAGACGGAGGCGCCTGCGCACTGGGAAGCCGGGGGGGGTGTCGGCAAGCGGCTCGGCGCGCGCATGCTCAGAAGTGCCGAGAGGGCGGGCCTCGCGCGGTGCCGCGCAGTTGCAGGCGAGCCGCGGAGGAGGTGAGTCGTGGTGGTTGGTGCTCCGGCGGCGTGAGGGGTTTCCTCGCCGAGAGGACCCAGCTTGGGCTCCGCCCCCCGCCCGTCTTCTACGCCGGCCTGAGTTGTACCTGTTGGATTGCTGCCTGTTGGGTTGTACCTGTTGGATTGCTGCCTGTTGGGGGGGGCGGCGGAGGATGCTGGCAGTCTTAGATATGGGGCGCAGCAGGCTTTCCAGAAGCAGGCGGGTTGCTTGTATTATTATTTCCAGAAATGTCACAGTCGCCGCTTTTCCTAAGAAGCCTAACCTGTTGAGCTTCTGCCTGTTGCATGATTTCTAAAGGCTCAACGAGCCCTGCTTTGCTCTGGGGAGTTGGCAGCGTGTGTTTTGGGGGAGTGGCAGTTTCTAAAGTGGGGAACAGGCAGATGTAGCCCTGGACCCCGAGTTTCCACAGGAGTCGATAGGGGACATGTGCTGGCTTCATTCTTGAGTGACAAAGGTAAGGGAGACAAGAATACACCTGCCATAACTTTCTCTTCCTCTTTCCCACAAGCTCTTGTCGGAGAGATGTCCCACAGCAAACGTAGCAGCAAGGGAGCCGGCCCTTCTCAGGTACTGCACATGGACTGACTTCTGGATTTATTAATACGTTGTAATGTATAGCTTATACTGCCAAACAAAACTAGATGCAGCCCCCCCTTCCCTCAAACTAAACAGTAGCTTGTAAAAACACCAATCTCCATAAAAATTCAATCAAAAGGTCACAAAGATAAGAATGAAAAGAAGATAATTCACCAGCTGCAACCCATAAGTAGTAAAAGATAGCCCTAAGCCACCAACATCACCTGCATTTGGGTAGGTAGCAGAGTCCAGATTTCAAACATGGCTGGTTGCAAATCTCCATATGGTAGAGACAAGTGTCTAAGACATGTATACAGTAATATCTCCGCGAACGTCCGCCTTGTCTAGCGTCTTTTCCGGTGAACGTCCATGGCAAACCCGGAAGTACTGGAACGGGTTACTTCCGGGTTTGCTGCTTCACGCATGTACAGAAGCACAAGCCGCTCCACGCGTGTGCGGACGCGGCACTTTGCCCTGCATCCTTTTTGGCTAGCGGCTGGGGCTCCAGTACATTTATGCAGTTCAGATATGATGGGTGGCATTTGCATGTTGTACTTGAGTTTTACAGAACTTGCTGAAACCTTAAATGTTCAGCTATAATATATGAAAGGTTGTAGCTTTTCAACAGAAAAATGTAATCCAATTAATAGTACACTCCAAAGCACGTTTACTTAGAAATAAATTCCATTGGGTTCAGAGGGTCTTACAGTCAAATGTGCATAGGATTGTAGTCTTGGTAAGAAATTGCTCAGAAAATGTCAAGCATGTTTATCTCTACATGTGGCTAGCACGAGATCAGAGCTGACATCTCCAGAGATGACAGGCCTGTGTGAATCCCACAGCTGGATCCCAAAGCCTTTTTTAAAAAAATGAATCCTCTTTCCTTACCCAGGCACAGCACACGGGTTCAGATGATGAAGGCGGCACACTGAGTCTAACGATGACACCCAGCCAGCTGCGGAATACCTTGGAGCGACGCCCACGGAGTCAAGTGGAACTCAAAGTAAAGGAGCCTCTGCTGCAATTGTTTATGCTTCTTTGGGGCCTCACAGTCATGATTGGCTATAGCCAGAGCTATGTCCATTCAGTTGAAAAAAAGTGCTAGTAAAAATAGAGTTTTGTGACTTGTGTAAACTATGTACAGATTGGCATGGTCTTCCTAGTTTTGTTAGCTGTCACGGATGTAAGACACTGAAACCCTCCCTGGCAACCATTGAAAATCTTATTCAGCCACGGTTCTGGGTTCTGAGATTGTCTACACACTTTTCAACTAGATTTGCAGTCATAATTCTAGATTTTTTTAAAAAATGAAGGCTGAAATTCTCAGGTAACTGAATTCTGTGCCCACAGCATTGCAGCATAGACATAGACCCACCAACTGCCTATGTTGTATTCTCCCTGCAGGCACAAGAGCTCGTGCAGTTTATTCTGTTCAAAGACCAAAAGAAGATCCCAGTTAAAAGGGCAGGTAAGAACAGGACCAAATTGCTTTTGTGCCAGAGATACCCAAATTCTGTTTTCAGGGTGAGATTAAGCAAATTTGTATTGGCACTTCTGCGCTTCTAGAACTACCAGACGTCCTGCCTAGGTCTCCTTGGTTTCCAACCCCTTATGAGTTACTGTGCACATATTTCCAAGTTCTGAAAGCTTTGCTTCAGTCAAGTATATATCTTTCTAGTTGCTCTTCATATTTTTTTTTTAGTTCAGATTTTTTTTCAATGGAATTTTGCTTTGTATGTATGTGTGGTTTTTTTTAAATACAATGTAAGAAGACCTGGTCAACAAACCTATCTGTCTCCTTTATAGATGTTCTGAAACATGTTATCAAAGACTATAAAGATGTCTTTCCTGTGATCATCAGACGTGCCAGTGGGATCTTTCAGCTGGTGAGGGAGGAATCCATTATTGGTTTGGGCAGAAGTGTGCGACTCCATCCATTTTGCTTTATTTGTGGATTCTCATAAGGCCCAGCCTCTCAAGGCAGGACTGCAGAGAAGATTTCTGCAGTGTCTAGTGAGGCCAAAGCAGTGGCTCTGAAGCTGAAATCGTTTGATAGACCATTAAAAAGCTAGGAGCATAGCAGAGTTTTTTGTCCTTGAGGTCAGGTTGACTGATGTGCTGTGGCATGAATATTGACATGAATATAGAGAGAGAAGAGATGGCAATTTTTGCATAAATTGTAGAGATTGCTTGAATGTGTTTATCTACTCTTAGGCCTTTAGTATAGTGTGGAAAATCCAGAGCCACAATGAAGGATGCTTCAAGTCAGATATCCTTACTCAGCGATTCAAATTCTGAGCAATACAATTTATGCCAGGGATAGAACTGATTCGTTTCTCAATATCTAGTTGTGATTTCTATCTTCTTTAAATGGGATTGTAATAGTGGAAGAGAAAATTGGCCTTTTACACTCTGGTCTGAATGTATTTATCTTTTTCTGCTTTGTCAGGTATTTGGACTGGAGTTGGTGGAACTTGACTCCAGAAATCCCACATACATCTTGATCAATAGATTGCCACCACTGGAACAGAGCTTGGAAGAGTAAGCAGAAGAGGGAAGAGTGTGTGTTCTGGTTCTCTTTTGGCAGTCCCAGCTGAAACGGAAATAAAATGAAACCCTCTCTCTCTCTTTCCCCCGCTTTGGCCTTGGTGCTTATCATCCTGTTCTTTTATTATTCAGAGAGACGTTAAGGTTCTACCAGAAGGAAGCACAAGACTAACTCTACCAACTACAGTGGTGCCCCGCAAGACGAACGCCTCGCAAGACGGAAAACCCGCTAGACGAAAGGGTTTTCCGTTTTGGAGGCGCTTCGCAAAACGAATTTCCCTATGGGCTTCCTTCGCAAGATGAAAGCCCATAGGGAAATCTCCGGGACAGCGGGGAAGCGCAGCGTGTCTTCCCCACTGTCCTCGGACCTCCTCCGAAGGCTGGTGGCGGGCGGAGAGACCTCCCGCCGCCAGCCTTCGTTTCTCCGCTATCCCAGACGGCTTTTGAAGGCAGGCGGGGGGGGGAGCAAAGACTTTCGCCCCCCGCCGGCCTTCAGAAGAGGTCCAGCGCGTTTCTCCGCTGTCCCGGACGGCTTTTGAAGGCAGGCGAGGGGGGGAGCATAGACTTTCGCACCCCGCCCGCCTTCAGAAGAGGTCCTGGACCTCTTCTGAAGGCCGGCGGGGGGCAAAAGTCTTTGTCCCCCCTGCCTGCCTTCCCGGGGGCTTTTAAATCACCCCGGGACAGCGGAGAAGTCCCCCGCTGTCCCGGGGCTTTTTAAAATGCTGGCGGGCGGCAGCGGAGGCTTCGCTCTCGCCCGCCAGCATTTTAAGATCGCCCCGGACAGCGGAGAAGTCCCCCGCTGTCCCGGGTTTTTTTAAAATGCTGGGGGTGGGAAGAAAAGCCCTTGGTCCCCCCCCCCAGCCTTCAGAAGAGGTCGGGGGACAGACTGTCCCCGGACCTGGTCTGAAGTCGGTTTCCATAGGAACGCATTAATTGATTTTCAATGCATTCCTATGGGAAACCGTGCTTCGCAAGACGGAAAAATCGCAAGACGACAAAACTTGCGGAACGAATTAATTTCGTCTTGCGAGGCACCACTGTACCATATGATCCCTGACCTAGAATGTTAATTTCCTCTTCTTTTTTAAAAAGAGCTAGTTCAGGTTCACCCTGCCCAACAAGCAACTAATTCCAGTTAATGTTAGCCCCTTTGCAAACAAATTTTTTCAGCATTCAGAATGTTACAGGCTGCTGTGCTGATGTGTAAAATATACTTAAGACTAAGGAAACATGAAAGCGTGCACGCACACACACACACAGACAGAGAGAGAGAGAGAGTGGAATACGAAATGTTTATTTTTCCCAACTGTGATGATTAGGCTTACAGGTCCCCCAAAGTTTAAAGAGTAAGAAACACATGCAGGAGAATCAACTTTGAATATGACCTAGAAATTGTGTGAAGTTCTACCCCCAAATGAACTTAATTTACATTCAGTTCACCTGGCAATTAAGGTACTATGCTTTCAGATATAATTCAGATATTTTTTAAAAAACAACTTATTCAGTGATCTTTGTTAAACTATTACAAGCGCTGCATTTGACTAAGGCGAGATGAAGTGGTTCTGAACACACAAAAAGGAAGTGTTGGTGTGTGATTCTTTGATCCCAGGCCAGCACTATTTCTTCCTCGCAGCATGCATTTTAGCCAAGGCATCAGAACTATCAGTTCCTGAAGTTAAAAGCATTTGGTTGAGTTTGTTGGTTTCTTGCTTTATAACGCAAGCTTCATTTCAAACACCGAATCCCGTGTCGGGAGACTGAATCTCTTTTTCTTTTTTTGCAGCGATGACATCATCTGCAAGATGGGGCTCCTCCTTGCCATTCTCAGCCTGATATTCATGAAGGGCAACGTGGCTAAAGAATGTGAGTTGCACTCCATTCGGTTCATCTGACTTCTTTGGTAGCCTCAGTTGCAAACTCTCATCTCTTGCTTTCTCTCCATCCAGCTGCGGTTTGGGAGCTGCTGAAGAGGCTGCGAATTGACAGCCTTAGGTATGATTGTCCAGGGGTAGCCATCTGAATCATAGACCCAACCCCTTCAGTGGGTGGAATTATGTTCGGGAATTGGGGAAGCAAATAACTCCTTGCTCCTCTGATACTATGTACCCTGACAAAATCCCACTCTCTAACCGTTCCAGGGGAAGATGCAAGGCATTTGGTGATGTGAAGAAGCTCGTGACAGAGGAATTTGTCAAGCAAAAGTGAGTCAGGAATTGCAAATCTTTCTACATTTTTAGCAGAGAAGAGAAATGTGTTGTACTGGTTTAAAAGTGTTAGGAGACTAGAATCCAGAACTCATTGTTTTGTTTCTAGTGCCTAAAATGGGGTGGGAGACCAAGACCAGATATGTCCTTTAGAGAAGGGAATTATGATTAGAATACTGTAAGGTGGTGCCTCGCAAGACGAAATTAATCCGTTCCGCGAGTCTCTTCGTCTTGCGGTTTTTTCGTCTTGCGAAGCACGGCTATTAGCGGCTTAGCGGCTTTAAGAAAAAGGAAACAAACTCAAAGCCCATAGGGAAAAGGAAACAAACTCAAAGGAAACAAACTCAAAGCCCATAGGGAAATTCGTCTTGCGGAACGACTCAAAAAATGGAAAACCCTTTCGTCTAGCGAGTTTTTCGTCTTGCGAGGCATTCGTCTTGCGGGGCACCACTGTATAGGTTATTAAGGGGACCTTTCTCTTCATCTTCCTCCAGGAACCAAAGGTATCTGATTCCCTTACCTAGGCAAAAACAAAACACGATCTGTGCTCTGAAGTAGTGATGTACGGCTAAATTCCTTAAATCTGCACAGGGTTGTAACAGTGGTTCATTGCATTTGTTCCTTGTATGCAAATGTGTGGGATTGAAATCTTGTGTTGTGCACAGAGCACATTCATGGCAGAAATTGTAGCTTGACTGTTTATAATGTCCAGCTGAGTTTACATGCCCTGGGAGACGTCAGACAACTCTCAACTGGAGTACAGATACTTCAGCTTTTAGCCTTTCTATTCTCCTGTGTCTTTGTCCATGGAGTTTTCTTGGCAGGGATACTGGAGTGGCTTGCCGGTTCCTGCTCCAGGTGGATCATGTTTGGTCAAAACTCTCCACTATGACCTGTCCATCTTGGGTGGCCCTGCACGGCATAGCTCATAGCTTCTCTGAGTTATTCAAGCCCCTTTGCCACGGCAAGGCAGTGATCCATGAAGGGGTACAAACATGAGTCTGACCAAACTGAGGGAGGCAGTGGAAGACAGGAGTGCCTGGCGTGCTCTGGTCCATGGGGTCACGAAGAGTCGGACACGACTAAACGACTAAACAACAATTCTCCTGTGTGTGGGATGGCTTTTTCCTACAAAGGATTGTAGCAGTGATCATGCAATTCTCACTTTCTAGGTACCTGGAATATACTCGCCTCCCACACACTGATCCACCTGAGTTTGAGTTCAGATGGGGACCACGGGCTGTTAGAGAAACTTCCAAGAAGGAGGTGTTACAGTTTGTTGCTAAGGTACTAGTCACCTGCTATAAGGCATGACCAGTCGAATTTTTCCATTGAGAGACTCTGTTGCCTGCAGAGTTTGCCCATGTGGCTGTACCAAAAGATCGCAGCCAAATCTGTACTTGCAGTAAAAGTCTACCCAGCATTAAGAATAAATGGCCCGGACTCTGGGACTGGAATAAATGAAAGAAATGTTCCCCTGTTTGTACATCCTGCACGTTTTATCCTAGACCATCCTTTTCTGATTTTTTAAAATTTAAATATTTATGAAGCAGAGAAATGGAGAAAAGGGGAAAAAAGTAAAGGTTGTGAATACTATATGTGGATTATGAGGGTATAGGGGCAAACACTTAACTGCAGGGGACTGGCCATTGTTAGCTTTCCTCAGTTGATCACTCTCAACTTCTGAGCTTTTCCTAGACATCTTCCAAATGTATTCCGGCTCTTCTCTGCAGCCATAGGGGAGAGCAACTTGCTTGCAAAACATGATACAGTGGTGCCTCGCAAGACGAACGCCTCGCAAAACGAAAAACTCGCAAGACGAAAGAGTTTTCCGTTTTTGAGTCGTTCCGCAAGACGAATTTCCCTATGGGCTTGCTTCGCAAGAAGAAAGCCCATAAGGAAATCTCCGGGGACCTCTTTTAAAATGCTGGCGGTCGGGAGCAAAGACTTTCGCCCACCGCCAGCCTTCAGAAGAGGTCCTGGACCTCTTCTGAAGGCTGGCGGGGGGCAAAGGTCTTTGCTCCCCCCCGCCTGCCTTCCCGGGACAGCGGAGACTTCTCCGCTGTCCCGGGGCGATCTTAAAATGCTGGCGGGCAGCAGCGAAGCCTTCGCTGCCGACCCCCAACATTTTAAAAGCCCCCGGGACAGCGGAGACTTCTCCGCTGTCCCAGGCAATCTTAAAATGCTGGCGGGCGGCAGCGAAGCCTTCGCTGTCCCAGGGGCTTTTAAAATGCTGGCGGGCGGCAGCAAAGCCCTCCTGTCCCCGGAGCTTGTGGGGCGGGAGGTGGGGAGAAGGGCTTTTCTTCCCACCGCCAGCCTTCAGAACAGCCTTCTGAAGGCTGGCGGTGGGAAGAAAAGCCCTTGTCCCCCCCCCCCAGCCTTCAGAAGAGGTCGGGGGACAGACTGTCCCCGGACCTGGTCTGAAGGCGGTTTCCATAGGAACGCATTGATTGATTTTCAGTGCATTCCTATGGGAAACCGTGCTTCGCAAGACGAAACACTCGCAAGAAGAAAAAACTTGTGGAACGAATTAATTTCGTCTTGCGAGGCACCACTGTACTGGAATGTTAGCTGTTGTGCAGTTTCACAGATCCCATACTGTTTTTTTAAGAGGTGCAGCCTGATTCTGGTTTTTGTGCATAGAATTCCTCCTTTCTCTCCGCACCCCCAAATTATGTTGGCAGCATCTGAGCAGGCAGCAAAGGTTCTGATTCCTTGTATAGCTTTCTATTCTGTTGTTAGAATGTGGCTTATATTGGATATATGTAATTGAAAATTAATAAAAAATATTTGCAAAAAATAATAATTCTGTTTTTTCCTGACTGTGTCCATCTGATTCCCTCCCCCAATCAGATACAGAAAAGGGACCCAAAATCCTGGATGAGCCATTACCAGGAGGCTGAAATAGAGGCTAATGCTGCAAGAAGAAAATAGCTGTTACGGCGTTGGATTACAGGGAGTCGTTGGAACCCCCAACTGGAAGTGGGTCTGCAGCCTTCTATGAGTACTTTGAGGGGAGAAGTGCTTTGAGGTTCATTTTATAGGGCTTGGCTCCATATAAAGCCGTCTGCAGCTTGGTAGGTTTCCTCCAAATGGAGGAAAGATTCCGTAATACACTTGGGTCTCTTAATCCTTCAGTCCGATAAGATTTATCCGTAAAGAACATGTCTGATTGATGATTAAGTTCAACGTCTTTGTGATAAATTTTTTTTAAAAAATTGTATGGTTTTATATTGGTCAGGAGAATATGGATCAGAGATAAAAGTTATACTCAGATATAGAATGTTTCTTTATTTAACTGCCTCTGTAATATGGATAACACACATTGTAAAGAGTGTTTTTTTCATTAAAACAAAATAAAAATATAGGGCACATCCAGTCGGAGCAAATGTTTTTATATCCTATTGAAAATGTAAGCACGTGCTAAACTGTCTCAAAATGAAAACAACAGGGCTTAAAATCCAGGCCTGTTTTCATCCCCTCCCCACCCACCCCATTGTTTGTTTACAGCCTTTTTCTTTCTTAGTGAACGGTAATTGCTCTTCAAGAGGCCCCCTCACTCATAAGGCAGTGTGCAGGCAAAATGGTCCAGAACTCCTGCACCCACCACTATTTCTCTGGGTGGCACTGTGCGGCCTGGATGAGGGCCAGCAGAATGGAAGGTAGGATTCTCTTAATAAGCAGCACGGTTAATAATGATCTGGCACTGTGCCTAGTGCTTCCTCAGGATTTCTTGCTACATCCACATTCTGCAGAAAGAAAAAGGAAAAGAAGTGCAAGATGGTTGAACGGTGGCTTAAATTAGAAAACAAACTTAGGGGGGAACTGAACACCCCATCCGCACCCAATTAAACTAGCGTGGTGAAATGGTTCCATTAGAATTGCAGCTGGAATTTCTGCACTGCACTCCTCTGTTCTGCCACCTCTATTTTATCATTTCTTCTAATGTGGACCAATATTTGGCAAGACCATTGCACCGCTCCACCTTGCAAATATGATTTTCTTGTGTAATGTGAATTGACCAGCACAATGCAGCTTAGGTATTGCCATAATAATCTGCTCCCATCTCCCAGTATAGGCTTGCCATACGTTGGGGAAATTCCTGACACGTCCTGGTTTTCGGGTGTAAATAGCCAGATGAGGGTAGGCAGTGGCAGAGCAAGCCGATCGGGCGCCTGGGGCAGTGTGCGTGCCCTGTGCCCAGGGGCAGGGGCTTTGAGGAGTCTGCCTGCCTCCTCCCACTCAGCTGCCCTACAGCTGAGAGGGAGGCGGTGGACGGACCATTTGGGGCAGCGCAGAGCCTGCGGGCACCCAAGCCACCGCGTCACTCCCAAGAGAAACACATGGCTCGGGCGCACTGCAGGCCCCGTGGTGAGTGCCGCCCAGCGTTTTGTCACCCCCCTCAGTGGTGACACAAAGGGCAGCCCGCCCCCAACGCACCCCCCTTCCTCCGCCCCTGAGGGTAGGGGAGTCTTTACCTGAGGGCCAAACAGGCAAGGGGTAGGGGACCGCCCCAGATCACTCCAGCAGGGTTGTTTGGTTGGCTGAGGGCTGGCCATTGGCACATTGTGGTGGTGCCGGTACAAGGGGGCCTGGCTAGCTTTGTAGGAAAGATGCTGGGAGTGGGGGTGGGAAGATAAGAGGAAAATATTACAGAGGGACAAATATGAGTATGAACAAGGTCGTCTTTCCTGTTGGAGGATCCCCATGGAGTGATGTCAGCAGGTAGGACTAAGTGGTGCAGCTGGCGAGCAAAGCCCTTGGTTCTCAACAGCATCACCTGGAGACAAGCTTTATAGCAAGCCACTGCTATGTGGAATTCATCACAGCTAAGGTCTTTCAACAGACCCTTTCCAGAAGATCCAACTAGATCCTGGTTAGGGATATTTCTCAACGTGGCAGGGTTCCCGCTTACCTGTGGCCGTTCCCGGTGTGTATTCACAGCCTCAATGTTGAGGAAAATCGATTCCACCTCGCAACCTGTCCCAAATAACAACCCTACAATTACTGAACATTGATGGATGTACCCAACACTTACCAGGCCACCTGTGCCTTTTCTCAGCTCATGTGCATTTTGCAGTTAAAGGTTGGGCTGGAACAAGCTTCTTGTCTGAAGGAATAGTTAATTGTCCTGGTTGGAAACTGGGAGACTGACTTAGGCAGGACTAAAGGGAAGACCTTGGCAGCTCAAAGAGCATTCTGAGCTGGCGAACAGCACGGCAGAGAAGCTGTCTTGGACTCCCATCATGGCAGTTGTTGGCGGAGCTCTTGATAGGTTTTTTTGTTTTACCCCTCTTTTTTTATCTGGCCTAGGCTGCTACCCTAGGAGAATATAGCTGGGAGAGAGTCATCTTAAAAAAACACACCCCACTTCATTATTTTTAATAGTGCCTGCAAAACTAAGAAGCCTTTCCTGAAGATTTAGATTAAAGTAACAAGAGACAAATAGTGAAGGGGAGCAATAGGGCGTTCATGGTTTAAAGTTGGCTTGCAAATTCTGCCTTCTTTGTAAGGCCATTGGCCTCATCCAGCAGCCTCTTCTTAGGTTCTTATAAGAAATGTCAAGCTGTGGTTAACTGGCTTTATTGTCACATGGAGGGATGAGTTCAAGCAGCAGCAAAGGAGCTCATATGCATCTGGGCTTATTAGGCAAGAATTTGATTACTTGAAAACAGCCAGTATGTTTGCTTTTAATCTCCCATGGCAACAGTGAGAGAGGGAACATACTGGAAGTAAGGTAAAGGGACCCCTGACCATTAGGTCCAGTCGTGACCGACTCTGGGGTTGCGGCGCTCACCTCGCTTTATTGGCCAAGGGAGCCAGCGTTTGTCCACGGACAGCTTCTGGGTCATGTGGCCAGCATGACTTAAGCCGCTTCCGGCGAACCAGAGCAGCGCACGGAAACACTGTTTAACTTCCTGCCGGAGTGGTACCTATTTATCTACTTGCACTTTGACGTGCTTTCGAATTGCTAGGTTGGCAGGAGCAGGGACCGAGCAACGGGAGCTCAACCCGTCACGGGGATTCAAATCGCCGACCTTCTGATCGGCAAGTCCTAGGCTCTGGTTTAACCCACAGCGCCACCCACGTCCCTATACTGGAAGTGGGGCTAAGTAAATTCTTGGCAGTTTTGGAATGACATGCTTTAAAGGGGGTAGGGAGGAAGACTTCCAAAGCACAAAGGATTTTGACAGGTGGATGGAATTTGGCTTGCAACATAGATCCTAATAGGGATCTTGCCCATGGAGCCAAAAAAGTTCTTCAGCCCCAAATGTTTTTTGGGGTAAGGTATCTCCCAGCTCTTTCTTAAAGCAAATAACCAGGACTTCTGAAATCCACCAGCAGGCCTCCTGCTTGAGGAAGGGGGTGTTGAGTTGTTCTCCTGGATTCAGACACTCACCATAGGCCACGGGTGTGAGCTTGAGAACGGTGTGCAGCGGGCACTTGAGGTAAGGCAGCTCTTCTGAGTGGAGAGAGAACAGCAAATGAGACAAAGAGGAGCACTGAGCAAGGATCCAGCCCCTTACTCAGTCTGTGGAGGGTGGTGTATTGGTGGGGAGAGGGAAACAACAGTCAGCCTCACTAGTGAATACTCCAGATATCAGATAGCAAGGGAGAAACTCCATCATTTGCTGGCAGCGGGTGCTATGAGGAGGAAGGAGTGCTCTGATGGTGTTTCCTGCTTGGCAGGGGGTTGGACTCGATGGCCCTTGTGGTCTATTCCAACTCTATGATTCTATGATTCTAAATGCTATTTATGGGAGAATGCCCCACCCTCTGCAGGAGACCGTAGGGACTTGGGCTCAAATGGGGAGCCTGCAAATGCAGAACAGGGTACTCTGGTACCTGCACTCTTGTCCAAGAAGTAGGCAAGCAGGCAGCGCATGACCGCTTGATGGCAGATAACCAGCACGTTCTCTTGTCTCTCCAACTCCATTATGACAGGCTCCAAGCGCTGCACCAGATCCTCGTAAGACTGGGTGGATGTAAGTATTAGGTTATCCAGAGATGCCCTTGGTCCTCGCTTTGGTCCTAAGGCCCTCCCTCCCTCCCTCGAGGAGTTTCGTAACTCTCTTCTCTAGTATGCTGCATGCTTCCTCTTCCCAACCAGCTCTTCCCATTGGGAGCCCGAGGTTCCACAGGTCAGTTCCCATGCGTGGAATGTGCTAAGTATGCTCAGCCCCCAGATGCCCCACTGGGCATTCCTTACCTCTCCCTTAGGATAGCGGTACCGATATTTGTCCTGGTCTCGTAGGGCAAACTCTTCTGGGAAGTGGTCCTGGATCTCTTCGTAGGTCATCTCCTCACAGACACCCTGGGGGGGGGAATGAAGCTGGGATATCTGAATTCAGCCTACATTCTTGGCAAAAAACAGGAAGTAGCATATATGTTGAAGGAAGGAGCTGGGATGTCTAGACTCCCTAGCTTTCTGGGAAGAAAGTGTGGTGTAGTGGTTAAGAGCAGTGGACTCGTAATCTGGTGAACTGGGTTCAATTCTCTGCTCCTCCACATGCAGCTGCTGGGTGACCTTGGGCTAGTCACCCTTCTCTGAAGTCTCTCAGCCCCACTCACCTCACAGAGTGTTTGTTGTGGGGGAGGAAGGGAAAGGAGATTGTTAGCCGCTTTGAGACTCCTTAAGGTAGTGATAAAGCGGGATATCAAATCTGAACTCTTCTTCTAATAAGGGATTTTGGAACAGGAAGCCATGCCTCCTAGTAGCAGGCAGGGCTGGTGGGTTAGGAACAGAGAAGTGCGAGACCCTAGCTCCTAGTTCCCCCACTGTGGGAAGAAGGGATTGTGCTCATTTCCTGTTGGTCCTCACCGCGTCGATCTCGTTCAGGGCTTTCCACTGCTCGTAGGGCACATGCAGCGCTTCTGCCGTCTGGATTGTGCGCTTCATGTGGCTCGTCCATACTTTGAGGTCACGGATGCACTGGGAGCGGATGAAGCCAGCCAAGGCACAGGCATACTGGCAGGCAGAGAGACAGAACAAGACAGGAGGTGAGGAGAAGCGCTGAGGGACAGAGGTTTGCTGGGAGGCAAGTGATTCTCAGACCTCTTTGATGTGTGAATTTCTCCCAAAGTTGAGGGCAAGACACTGCAAGAACAAACACACTTCTTTCTGCTATAACATCTTTATGCGCCCCCTTGCCCAGATTGCCCGGAGCTTTGGGCTGGGCTGTCACCCATATGCTGATGACACTCAGCTCTATCTGCTGATGGATGGCCACACCGACTCGGCCCCGAACACACTGACCAGATGCTTGGAAGCTGTGGCTGGATGGTTTCGTGGGAGCCGATTGAAACTAAATCCTTCGAAGACAGAGGTCCTCTGGCTGGGACAGGATGGTATGGGGATGAGGGACCAACTCCTTTCTCTTGCGGGGGCCCAGTTAGTGCCATTGCGTTCCGTTAAGAGTTTGGGTGTAATCCTTGATGCCTCCCTTTCCATGGAGGCGCAAGTTACAGCAACAGCCAAGGTGAGATTTTTCCACCTTCGCCGCATCAAGCAGTTGGTCCCTTACCTTTCCCACCCTGACCTGGCCACAGTGATCCATGCAACGGTCACCTCCAGGCTTGACTACTGTGATTCGCTCTACGTGGGGCTGCCCTTGAAGCTGTCCCAGAAACTCCAGAGGGTGCAGAATGCTGCAGTGAGGCTCCTCACGGGGTCTCTGCCATGGGAGCATATTCACCCAGTACTTTTCCAGCTGCACTGGCTCCCGGTGGAGTACAGGGTCAGGATCAAGCTGCTGGTCTTGACCTTAAAGCCCTTCATGGCCTAGGACCCTCGTACCTACGGGACCACCTCTCCTGGTATGCCCCACAGAGGACCTTAAAAGTCCATAAATAGCAACACCCTAGAGGTCCCGGGCCCTAAAGAAGTTAGATTAGCCTCAACCAGAGCCAGGGCCTTTTCAACACTGGCTCCGGCCTGGTGGAATGCTCTGTCTCATAAGACCAGGGCCCTGCGGAATCTGATTTCTTTCTGCAGGGCCTGTAAGACAGAGTTGTTCTGCCTGGCCTTTGGCTTAGAATCAGTTTGATTCCCTCCCCCTCTTTCTTTTTCCTTTCTCCTCCTGTGAAGAGGCTGCATCTTAATGTTTTAATGTTGTATTTTAATCTTGTTTTTTTAAATTGTATTTTAATCAAATTGTTTTTATTATTGTCTTGGCTGGGGAGGGTGGGGTATAAATAAAATTTATTATTATTATTATTATTATGGCAATGAGGAATCTATGCTGTCCATTCTCCGAGAGGGGAAGTGGTGGCAATTGCATCTGCAAATCTATCACTCAAGCGTGAACAACATCATCTTGGAGCTCAAAGACAGGTTTTTGTTAAAGCAGTCATGTAAACACTTCATGTTAAAAATTTTAACGGGAGACTGCTCATCAGGAATAACTTTGTTGGAGCTGTAACTGTGGAAACAACCGAACAAACCTTGGATGCAAATATGTCTGGGAAATATGACAGCCTTTATGTGAGGGGTTGTATCCAGCGAAGTTGTCCTGTTTGTGCAAGGACTTCCGCTTGTGCAACAGAACCTTCGCTCCATCGCCACCCCCTGCACATCCCGCCATCTGTTCTGGTGCTTCCGCCAGCCCTCCAGAGCGTCTTATGTTGGAGGTGGGGAAGAGGGAGAGCAAGTTCTGTGAAAGTCCTTGCTTTGTTGAATGCAACTCTGCTTTTCCATGAAGCCCGTTGATTTTACTTATTCCACTTATGAATCACTTCCCATAAAAAGTGATCTAAACATCAATAATAAAAAGCATACTTGAAAATAATTTCAAGTCCAATACAGATGCAGACTGGGATCGTCACCGCCATCATCCTTCACTCAAAAGGCTTGTTGGAAAAGGAAGGTGGGCACAGAAAGTATCATAGGAATTAGGTAAAGGTAAAGGTACCCCTGCCCGTACGGGCCAGTCTTGACAGACTCTAGGGTTGTGCGCTCATCTCACTCTAGAGGCCGGGAGCCGGCGCCGTCTGCAGACACTTCTGGGTCACATGGCCAGTGTGACATCGCTGCTCTGGCAAGCCAGAGCCGCACACGGAAACGCTGTTTACCTTCCCGCTATAAAGCGGTACCTATTTATCTACTTGCACTTAGGGGTGCTTTCGAACTGCTAGGTGGGCAGGAGCTGGGACCGAAAGATGGGAGCTCACCCCGCCGCGGGGATTCGAACCGCTGACCATACGATCGGCAAGTCCTAGGCACTGTGGTTTTACCCACAGCGCCACCCGCGTCCCATCATAGGAATTAGGGTTGCCATATTTCAAAAAGCAAAAACCAGAACACCACCAAAGTTGTCGAACTTTTTCTTTTACAAAAATGCCAAAAACCCCACGATTTTTCGATTGACTTGCCTAAGATCCAGGACACGAGTTCTGCCTTTCAGAAATTCCCCCAGACGTCAATTCAGCCTTTGAAATCCCGGTAATGCCTGGGAAAATCTGGACATATGGCAGCCCTAATGCCACCAGTAATGGGACATATGCCATTTCTTACCGCTTTACCCACATAGGATTCTACTAGCTTTCCCAGTTTAGTTTGGGGGAAGCTGAAAACGGACCCATCAACAAGGAGAAATCAACAGGGAAGGTTATTCCAAAATAGAAGTGACAGTGCTTCTGTCCTTCTTTAAACACAGGAATTCACAGTAAGAAAAACCTGTTTTTTGCCTTTTGATTGGCGGGTAGGGTTCTGCTGTACCTGTGTGCCGCGCTCAGACAGTCCAGAGTCGCCCCCAATGCGGCCCCGCAGATTGAGCTCACTCTCCCCATGCCGACTGAGGTAGATGGAGCGGGGCGTCACGTGGATATTCATCAGGTAATAGACTGTGCGGCTCTGTACATGGTCCTGAACCCGGTTCACCAGGTACCGACTGCCAACATTGAAGATTTTGATGTAGGACAGGGACCTGTGGATGTTGAGTGGGAGAGGGTGAGATTAGAAGCCCTTGCAGTCCGTGTGAGACTCCTTGGGGAATTCTGCGCTGCTCATTCATTGCGTAATAAACTTACGGAATTTTATACTACAGAATAATACTGAGTAGCTTACACAACACAAATGGCTATTAGCCACGATAACCAAAGATCGGCTCTGTGTACAGCAGCAGATCTGTGAATACAAAGTGCTGGGAACAGCAAAAGGCAACTGATGCTGTGCTCTGTCTATGAATTCCCTGAGGAATCTTGGGGAGCAAATTCAGTACTAAACTTGGTGTATGAGATAGTCAAGAACCAGTAAGAAAGCAGGGTGATGGTTGCACGCTTCCCTGCAGTCTGGTATGAGGAAAGGTAGTATAAACATGTTTTAAAACAGAGTAAATAGGTCCATAAATGGCTATAATCATGGCAGCTTAGTAGAGCCTCCATGGGCCAGGTAGTGTACTTCTTGAGAACCAAATGCTGTGGGAAAACGGGAAGTCCATCTGAACCCAGCAAGGCAGTTCTCATATTACATTTTTACTTTTGATGGAAGGCCCAGAGTTATTTTCAACCTTTTGTACACCCCCAGGAGTGGCTTGCTGCTGATGCTGTTTATAGATGGTTGAAATCCTCTTTGCTGCAAATTCAGACTCCCAGCAAATTTGGTACAATGGTACCTCGGGTTAAGAACTTAATTCCTTCTGGAGGTCCGTTCTTAACCTGAAACTGTTCTTAACCTGAGGTACCACTTTAGCTAATGGGGCCTCCTGCTGCCTCCGCACCGCTGCCGCGCAATTTCTGGCGGCAAGAGCCAGTGTGGTGGTGTGGTTAAGAGCAGTAGATTCGTAATCTGGTGAACCGGGTTCGCGTCTCCGCTTCTCCACATGCAGCTGCTGGGTGACCTTGGGCCAGTCACACTTCTCTGAAGTCTCTCAGCCCCACTCACCTCACAGAGTGTTTGTTGTGGGGGAGGAAGGGAAAGGAGAATGTTAGCCGCTTTGAGACTCCTTCGGGTAGTGATAAAGCGGGATATCAAATCCAAACTCCTCCTCTTCTTTCTGTTCTTATCCTGAAGCAAAATTCTTAACCGAGGTACTATTTCTGGGTTAGTGGAGTCTGTAACCTGAAGCATATGTAACCTGAAGCATCTGTAACCCGAGGTACCAGTATATATGGAATACACACAGCATTCCCTCCCCTTTGCAAGGCAGGTCTTGCAAGCAGTGGCAGAACTGCCTTCTCACCTGTCCAAGTCGTCATCGAGTGGCTGGTAGGTTTTCTGGTAGCACTCGATCCGCTTGAGAAAATCCTCCACCACTTCATCTCGGTTGCAGTCCTTATAGTCAGGGCTGGTCAGCTTCACTTGCTGTGGGTGATGTGAGGAGGCAAAACAACAAGGCAAGGCAAGGGTGGAGAAAGGGACACGGACACACACACAACCAGTCAGGCTGAATCCTTATTGGTGTAAATGATGGTCCTCTCCTGCCAGCAGGATAGCTGGAAAAGGATGCTCGGTTTGGGATGCTGTGCTTCATTGAAGGCAGGGCTCACAAGCACTTTCAGTGCCAGAGAAATTCATTTCAGCTCACATTTTCATGTGAACCTATCTAGTCACCATTCTGCAACCCATGCTTCCACTGGAACATAGGTGCCCTTGGGACATTCACACTTCTCTAAGCGTTGCCACAAAGGCTGATCTGCTGCAAAAGAGGTCTTACCTTGATATTCTCCTGGATGATATCAGGGTCATCGCAGATAGATTCAATGAAGAAGACCTGTAGTGACAGAGCGATATGTCATGGCAGGAGAACGTATGTGGCAGGCAAGCAGCTGCCATCAGAACAGTTTTCTTTTGGTGGCTGGAGCCAGATGGTTGCTTCCCCCCTCCCCAGAGAATATGAAGGAGTACAAAGTGGCAGGGTTGCTACTGGTGAGCAAATTTTACAGGCTTTTGTGGTGCTTTTAAAAAGTCTTCAAAATCTATTTGACCAGAGATGACAGTGCAAAGTAAGAAAGTACAAATATACCCAGGAAACAAAATCTCTCTCGTATTTATTTCAAATATTGGAGGGTGGAGACCATGTCTCCCATTTTCATTAACACATGCTGAGATTTCAACACAAATGTTGGTTTGAGTGCAGAGTTGTATTTATAAGGATCTCAGGTTTTGACTTTTATGTTTGCAGATGTCTCATTGTGGTTGTAGCAATATGCTCTTCATTGTGCAAATAGCATCGTAATTTTGGGGGGATACCTGTTATCTCTTCCTTTTGCCCATACTGCTCTCTAACCAAGGGCATTGCTTGGTACTTAAGGGTACTTATGTTATGTTACTGGCATAACATAAATTCACATGTGCTAATTTATATGAATAGATGTCTCCAGGAAAGTAAGTGTGTGCCTGGGGTCTCACCAGAACCGCACTTTCTAATTTTCCCAGCTGCCGTGTGTGTGTGTGTGTGTGTGTGTGTGTGTAAAATGTGGCAGGAGATCTGGAGCCCACTGAAAAAGACCCCCGTCGTCCACTAACAGGGAGTGAGCAAAGGTATGCCCATCAATCAAACCCTTAGTTTTCATAATTCATTTTGTATAAATTCATTCTGATAAAAAATACAATAAAAAACATGTTTACAACTGTTTAAAAACCTCTAAAACAATTAAAGCCCAATAAAACATCCAAAATAAATTTAAGAACAGATGTAACCAAATTATGTATCCAGATAGACCTGCTGAAACAGAAAAGCTTTCAGCAGGTGTCTAAAATGGAACAGCCATGGCGTCTGCCTGATATCAACAGGCAGGGAGTTCCAAAGTGCTGCTGCCACCACCACCTTAAAGCAGGGGTCAGCAAACTTTTTCAGCAGGGGGCCGGTCCACTGTCCCTCAGACCTTGTGGGGGCCGGACTATATTTTGGGAAAAAAATAAAAAAATGAATGAATTCCTATGCCCCACAAATAACCCAGAGATGCAATTTAAATAAAAGCACACATTCTACTCATGTATAATAATAATAATAATAATAATAATAATAATGTATTATTTGTACCCTGCCCATCTGGCTGGGTTTCCCCAGCCACTCTGGGCGGCTACCACAAAACCAAAAATAAACACCAGGCAGGCCCCACAAATAACCCAGAGGTGCATTTTAAATAAAAGGACACATTCTACTCATGTAAGAACACGCTGATTCCTGGACCGTCCGCGGGCCAGATTTAGAAGGCAATTGAGCCGGATCTGGCCCCCGGGCCTTAGTTTGCCTGCTCATGCCTTAAAGCAGGTATGTCCAACAGGTGGATCGTGATCTACTGGTAGATCACTGGATGTCTGTGGTAGATCACTGGTAGATCACTGTCTCCCCCCAAAGAAGCTTAACAAGTTTGGTTCCCCTTTTTTGCCCTGCACCCCCAAAAAACGGGGTTTCCTCGTCTCTAAAAAGAGCTCAACAACTTTGACCTGAACCCCCCAAAAGGGGGTAGATCACTGCCAGTCTTTAACTCTGTGAGTAGATCGCAGTCTCTTGGGAGTTGGCCTTAAAGGAATACTCCTAAATGCAGAATTTAGAACCTGAGTTCCCTTCACACAAAACCTTTGGCACAGGGGACTCTGACTAAATCCTCTGCCTGTGGACTGCTCACTTGACTGCTTACTTTGTAGCCGTTCTCCTTGGCAAACTGCAGGATGAGGGTCCGCCGTTCCCGTGTGGTGTTGGTGGCATCAAAAACCTGTGCAAGGGAAGAGCGAGGCAGTGGAACAAGGGTGCAATCTAAGGAACTCTTAAGAGGGATACGGGCTTTTGCCTCCTTACCGCAACTTGTCCCTCTTCCACACTCAGATAGGTTTGGACGTCCCGAAGAGCGGCTAATGCACACTGTCTGTTGGCGAATATAAGGAGAAGTGAAAACCCACCTACAGGCTTGTGTAATCGTAACCAAACCTTTCGTTTTTATACGGCACTCAAAGCACTTCACAGTCCTCACAACACCCTTGCAAGGTGAGTCAGTATTATGGGGAGCAAATGGTGGCCTGCTCAAGCGCAGAGCTGGGGAACCGACGGTCCTCCAAATGTACCATATTTTTCCGTCTATAAGACACCCCCATTTATAAGATAAGATAAAACTTTATTTGCATTAGCCAATGGCCATAGCAACAGTAAAACATTACAGTATATGCAGAAAAGGGAATTTGATATAAGAGCACAATTTAAAGTCCTGAATCAGCCGTCAGTTAGTGGCCCTTATTCTGATTGCCTATGAACCTAGCAACCTTTGCTGTTATCTGCTCATTTTGTTCTGATAGAAGAAAGGACATTGTGGCAGTGGTTGAGCGCCCTGGGATGGTTAGTACGACGCCTCCTATTTTGGGGGACTCAGATTTAAGAAAACGAGGGGAAGATGTATATGTGTATAAGACGCCTCCTAATTTTTGACATTATTTTTTAGGGGGAAAACCTAGTCTTATACATGGAAAAATACGGTAACTGGACTACAACACCCATCATGCCTGACCATGTTGGCTGGAGCTGATGGGAGTTGGAGTACAAACATCAGGGCCGCCACACGTTCCCCACCTCTGACCTAGCGTGTTCACAGTGAAAGCGAAACCTCGATATGGAGGGACTTCCTGTGTAAGAAGTTGCAACTTAGCCATTCCATTCCACTAGCTCTCTGCCATTATTTACATTTATACAATTGAATGCGTGTTTGGGGCCGATGGGAACTGTAGTGAAAGATGGCTGGATGAGCCCTGGTAGGTGAACTCTGTCCTGTACACAGCCCTCCAGCGGGTGCTCTGAACTGGCTCAGATGGTCCTTGCCTCCTCCTTGCTTTCATTTCACCTGGAGATTTGACACTGAGTCTTATCTTCAGCCTAGCCTTGTGGAATTTATTTTATTTTATTTTAACCTTGCCTCTTTCTATTGTTGATTCTTCTTACTAACATCTGCAGCATAGCTTCGGGCAACAGCTTCAAGGTTATGGGAGGAAGTTGGACATGTTTCTCTCTGACATTGAAAAACACTGTTTGAAAGGATTATCTAGGAATGTGAGGGTATTAAAAAAAAAAAAACACCAAAGTCTGCTGCTGGCTTTTGACACTGAAATCCTTCTAGCTTGTAACTTGGCAGCAGCAAGAAACCTTGCTGGCCAGGTTGAAAGGCAAATGTAAGCTCTGGGATCCTGTGGAGTCTGAGCTGTGGTGATCTGCTACATACAGTACCCTGGCCACTACATGAGGGGTGGGAAGCCTGTGGCCCTGCTGTAATCCCATGGGCATTGAACCAGGTGCCAAAGTCCTGCTGGAAAATGAAGTCAGCATCCCCATAAAGCTTGTCTGCGGAAGGAGCATGAAGTGCTCCAAAATCTCCTGTCATCAGCTGGTGTTGGTCCACTGTGCTTCATTAAGCCCAGGGTCAACGCAGCCATCTACCAGGAGATTTTGGAGCACTTCGTGCTTCCTTCCGCAGACGAGCTTTATGGGGATGCTGACTTCATTTTCCAGCAGGACTTTGGCACCTGCCCACACTGCCAAAAGTACCAAAACCTGATTCAATGCCCATGGGACTACTGTGCTTGATTGGCCAGCAAACTCGCCTGGCCTGAACCCCATAGAGAATCTATGGGGCATTCCAAAGAGAACGATGAGAGACAGGAGACCGAGCAATGCAGAAGAGCTGAAGGCTGCTGTTGAAGCATCCTGGTCTTCCATAACACCTCAGCAGTGCCACAGGCTGATAGCATTCATGCCACGCCGCATTGAGGCAGTAATTGATTCAAAAGGGGCCCAAACAAAGTACTGAGTACATATGCATGCTTCTATTTCTCAGAGGTCCAATATTGCTCTATTTGCAGTCCTTGTTTTGCTGATTTCATTTAATATTCTAATTTTCTGAGATTGTTAATTTGGGGTTTTCATCAGCTGTACACCATGATCATCACAATTATAACAAATAAAGGCTTGACATATCTTGCTTTGCATGTCATGAGCCTATCTCATATATTAGTTTCACCTTTTAAGTTGAATTACTGAAATAAATGAACTTTTCCGCGATATTCTAATTTTCCGAGTTTCACCTGTAGATGGGAGAATTCCTCACCTCCGGATCTGCATGGCCTCTTCGTTGTCTGGTCTGAAAAACTCGTAATTCTTGTAGGTCTGGACGGCTTCACGGCGATACTGCCCAACGTTGAACACTGGGGAGATGAAGACTAGGATGGGCTGGGGCTCTTCAAGGAGTCCCCTTGCCCCAGCAGTGTGGCTTCCCCCTCCAATCTAAGTGTCCACCCACCCTGAACAAACCCCTTCCCCACAGTTACCTTTAGTGGGGGTTCCGATCCAGTTGAGGTAGCGGGTGAGTTTTTTGGAGATGTAGGTTTTTCCTCGAGCGGGCAAACCCACCATGATCACCATTGTTGGTGAATTGGTGAACTGTGGCACGGAGGCTGTAGAGAGAGGCAGAAAGAGGAACTGATGTGCTATGTGATGAAGCCACAGAGCGCCCGCAAAACCTCGGGAGCTGCCGAAGCTTCAGTACCCTACCTTAAACTTTTGCATCTTTTTCTACACTACTGTAGTTATAGTCCCTGAATTCTAGCATTCCTAGAACCACCAGCGACCTTTGAGCAACAAAAGACAAGGGAAGCCTTATGCCATAGGCAGTTGTTTTCTCCAAAGAATCTTGGGAACAATAGTTCACCCTGCACAGAGCTACAATTCTCAGCACCTTTAGCAAACTACAGTTCCCATGATTCAAGTCATGTGCTTTAAAGGTGTGGTGTGTACACAGCCAGGGTCTCTTCTTCACCAGAAGTTGGGCTGAGGTCAGCCCATTCGTTAAATACAAATATTGCCCCGTCTACATTTCCCTCAAGTTAAAAGGCTGTTCCTCAATCAAGCTAATTCCTCCGGCCTGGTGCTGAATAAAATAGACCCTGGCCTTCTTCGGGGAGAAAGAACCCACATCGGAGCAGAACAGAGCCCAACTCACATCCCCTGCGTTGCTGCAGGCGTTTGCTGGTGCGGGGAATCCATACTTTCTGCAAAGGCGTCTGAGTGAGCTCGCCAAACGCTCCAGACATCCTGCTGATCGCCTACTTGTTCTCCAAAACTGGACTGTCTGGCTCTTGCCGGAGGCTCCAGATTACTGATTGTCATGTGTGTGTTTGTGTATGCAAGCAAAATAGGTTCAGTGTAGGACAGTTTGGCCATTGAACTCCCACCGCTGTGTACACTACAGATAACTTGGAGATAACGTCCAACCAAGCTCACTTTACTATTGGGGAGAAAGTTCCTTGCTGTTCTTAACATTTGCTAGTCGAGGGAGCGGGTGCCATCTAGAAATGGAAACCCCCTGCCTCCCCGCCCCCCAACAATGCCTTTCCCCTGCCTTCCCGATCCATTCTGTTCTTCTGAACTGACACGATGTAAGAGTTGACACCTCTCAAGGTCAGAGACCCCATATCCCAATTCCAATTTTACAGGTAAAGGTAAAGGAACCCCTGACCATTAGGTCCAGTCATGGCCGACTCTGGGGTTGCGGCGCTCATCTCGCTTTATTGGCCAAGGGAGCCGGCGTACAGCTTCCGGGTCATGTGGCCAGCATGACTAAGCCGCTTCTGGCGAACCAGAGCAGCGCATGGAAACACTGTTTACCTTCCCGCCGGAGTGATACCTATTTATCTGCTTGCACTTTGACGTGCTTTTGAACTGCTAGGTTGGCAGGAGCAGGGACCGAGCAACGGGAGCTCACCCTGTCGTGGGGATTCGAACCGCCGACCTTCTGATCAGCAAGTCCTAGGCTCTGTGGTTTAACCCACAGTGCCAGAGTGGTTAGCTAATACCACTATGGAATTTTGCCCTTAGGGATGGATCCAGGGCACTATGCAACTAGGGTCCTCAACCTCGGCCCTCCAGATGTTTTTGGCCTACAACTCCCATGATCCCTAGCTAGCAGGACCAGTGGTCAGGGATGATGGGAACTGTAGTCTCAAAACATCTGGAGGACCGAGGTTGAGGAAGCCTGAACTAGGGTGTCCTGCTAATAGAAGCTTATGCAAGAACTTCTGCTAACATTTCCCCTCTTCTCTTCCTATGCCCTCAAAAGTGGTTCTGGGGGCTGGGAGAATCCCCAGAGCAGCCCAAGAGGGGAGATGGGGCTGGTTCTGTCTGGCAAGTTGAAATACTTGCGCTGAAGGAACAATTCCCATAGCGCTACCTTGAATTCCTCCCAGAATTCCCACAAACAGAATAACTTTTTAAAATGTGCCAGTTTGCATAATTTAGTGACAGTTTCTTTTGTAGATTATGAATTAAAATTCTGTTTAAATGACAAATTATGAAACAGGAAGAAACAAGAAACAGAGGACTATGAATAGTGGTCATTACATTAAATCCCAGCCTCCCTGTCCAGTAAATGAAATCTTTATCAGTTTCCTATGTTTTGAGGAAAACTTGCCAACCTATTTTCCTTTACAGCTGTATAGACTACAGCAGTGTTTGTCAAACTTGGGTCTCCAGCTGTTGTTGGACTACAACTTCCATCATTCATAGTTAGAAGGACCAGTGGTCAGGGATGATGGGAGTTGTAGTCCAACATCAGCTGGAGACCCAAGTTTGACAAACCTTGGATTAGAAGCTTGTTTTTCTAAATAAATAAGTAAACAAAAGCAGAGAACTTCAGGCTTGTGCACAAGTGGTGGAATCAATTCTGTGTTGCCTGTTGGTGCGATCACAACCATGCAGATTTCCAAAGACCCCACCACATCCAATTCCTCTTAAAGGACAAACCTGACCATGCTAACAGCAACACAGCACCAACTAACTTGTTTTCTGGCTTTTTAAAGTGCAGGGCTTAAGTTCAGTGAGGGTGGGGAGAATGGATGACCTTGAATCAGTACTGGAGCCAGCGTCAGAGTCAGCTTGTATGCTCGACCCAGGAAGGGGTATGCCATGGACCCATGCCAAAGTGCCAGATTCTGGGGCAAAGTGGGAAGTTTTCAATTCCTGGTGAGGTTTACTGCGGACACCTTGCTGGTTTATTGAACGGCAGGGTATGTACTAGAGCTGGAGGCTTACACTAGGTGGCACTGTAGAGCAGCCTTTCTCAACCTTGGGTTCCCAGATGTTGTTGGACTACAACTCCCATCATCCATAGCCAGCAGGGGCAACAGTCAGGGATGATGGGAGTGTTACGTCCAGCAACATCTACCCAAGGTTGAGCAAGGTTGTTGTAGAGAATTCTAAGAAGTGGTTTCCAAATGGTACCTCTTGAGAAACAACTAGAAGCAGCCATAAACTCATAGGATGGGGGGGAGAAGCTGACCTTCTATTCTGTTGAGAGTTCTAAATTTGCTAAGCACCTGGGGATCAACTAAAAGCTATAATGTATGGGAAAGGGTTTTTTTTATTTTAAAAAGCGCAGCTGTAGATTTCCAAGGGCCCTCGGTGGATACAGGGCACCTGGACCCAAGCTACAAAGAATAAGCTTATCTCCCATGGTTTGCTTTTTTGCTCTAATTGGCTTCATCAAGTGTATATTGTTTTGCTAACATTTCCCAGGGACAATGAGAGATAAACAAGATGACTTCTAGAAGAGCTGACATGAGATCAAAGTGCAGCAAGATCTTATAAATAATTAACACAGCTGACATTTTGCAAAACATGAAAAACTCCTCCAAAAAAGGAAGTAAAATCCCCAGTAAAACAGCCCAGTGTTTAACCTTAAATAACGCATTAGTATGTTTTGTTGTTGTTTTGCTTCTGACTTCATTAAGAACGTCATCTGAAATAATTCAAGTTTTAAATGCAAAGATTAAATTTTACTTAATCCCACCGTTGGCAGGTGTAGCAGGAACCCCCCCACCCCAATCATTCTGCTTGTACAAACTTCACACACTCACACACTACATACGCCACATCTCTGTTATAAATTCATAGAAAATCAACCATACATCGGATTTGCACTGTTCCATTTTTATTTTACTCCATATGACAAGAACTAACAAAGGGGGGTGACTTATTCCTGGTCAGCCATAATCCCTCCACCATCTCAGCACATCCCAGCACATCTGCAGGAGCCCTGCCCAGATGATCCCAGACAGAAGACAATCAAAATCACAAAGAACTTGCATATGGGAGTGGATTCAGCATGGACTGAAACAAAGGACAATGATCAGATCTTCCCTCAGGGGGCAGGAAACTGCAAACTCCCCTTTGTCTCCTGGAAGTGACTCATGGGGAGGGGGAAAGGAGGAACCAGCCAGGTGACAAGATACTCAGGTTACCACCAACTCCTCCCTCAACCCCTCCTTTCTGTAATATATGCATGATGTTTCTGGGGGGTGGGCTTGACCTAGAGGAGGGGAATTTCAAAAGTTTTTATAAGACCTTGCACACTATTTTTCTGGGTCTTTCCTCTCTCCTGCAAGTGAGGGGAACACCCTGATGCATCAGTTCAATAAAGGCCAAGCCTACAGGCTGCTGTTTTGCTCCAAGTTATCCTGGTTGGTGTCTTTGTTTTGTCCAAGGGAGCCCTCGGATTTTTCCTGTAACACAGGGAAGGAAGGAACGTGGGCAAAAAGTTACAGAGGAGACCCATCAGGAACAGAGACCGTAATCCACTGATGGTCACATTGACACCATACAATTCCCAGCATGTTCTACTGACTACGGTTCCCAGAATTCCCCACGACTGTTAAACTAATGTAAGAGTTCTTTAACTGTATGGTGTGGATACAACCAGGGCTTCTGCAAGAATAATATCCCAGGGGATTGTGTACCCTAAATCGCTAACAACAAGCTGCAGATTCTCACAGAATATTTTCCACTAGATGGCCACATGGCAAAAGTAAAAATGGGCAAAGCGAAAGCAGACATTCACCAGAGTGAGCACAAGCTCTTTGGGGACGAAGCAGGCTGTGCATTCAGATAAATACATTGACAACACAGCATCCAGAGTTTATTGGACTCCTGTGTTCCACACGGGGATGATCATTTTGAGCATGCCCATTTCAACACAGGTTACGCATTGCATCACGCAGCTTAGCAAATTCTCTGCAGGCTTATAGCCTGTGCTTGGGCAACATTTCAGCAAGATGTGCAGACAACTATCTCCAGCCTGCTGTAGCTTGCATGTGTGCTAGGCCAGGAAATACAATATGCCTTATGCAACTCAAGGATAAACGCTGTGGGCTTTGATGGGGGTTAACGGCAAGGACAGAAGAGAAAGGGAAGGGAACCAGGCAGTTTCCCAGAGCATTGGACAACTCCCACCAGGGTTAAGAACTCCCCATTTTCCCACACTAGAAATAAAGGATCACTGCAGGTTTGCCATGCTTGAGCCCCTAAGGAATGGACAGTTAGAGGACACCCTGGCTGTTCTTGAACTCCTTAGACACCCACCCAACGTCGTCTTAGAACCCTGTCATCTGTCATCCTGACTGCCGACTGGGACATGCCCTACCTGGGATTTTGGCAGGTTTTTCCTCCATTGCTGATCGGTCTCCCTTATCTTCTAGGAGCCATGGCATTGGGGGATCTGCCGGGTCACTACAGCAAGGAGGATTTCCCTCGGGGTCAAGTTTCGTGCTGCTGGGGTGTCATTCATAGCAGCTGCTCAGCCAGAGGCAAAACAATCCGGGGAGTCTTTCCACAAGAAGCCATGTGGCCTTGACGGAAAGGTCAGCACTAATATTATCCCTGCAGCTGGAGGAAGGAGGAGGAGGAGGAGGAGACAAGGCTTGGGAGTATGAGACAAGACCATGGCCTGGCTCAGAGAAAAGCAGGAGTGTGTGTGCTACAGGCAATCTTTTAGGACTGAGAGTTGATTAAAATAATTGCAGCTGTTTTATGTAGCTTAGGCAATCAGGGATCTTTCATCAGGACAAACATGCAGCCTCCTCCATATCTGGGGAATGTCCGGATTTCGATAAGAGCCTAGTGCTTGTTGTTAGGGCTGCCAGATGTTATTTATTTCAGAACTGAGTGTCAGGGCCAAACTACAGTTGATTGAATCTACTGATTTGGATTGTTACTGTTTTATAATCTTAAAGTAGCTGGGGGTAGGGGTGCTGGGAAGTATATAGAAGGGATCTAAGCATTTTCCCCAGCTGGAATTCCCTCCCAGCCATCCTGAAACAGAAATTAGCCCGACTAGAGAGGAAATATAGGTACGTATTGTAACAGCCTTTTTACCCAAGGAAAATTTATAGCAGCTTGGGGAA